TCAATTATTCGCTTTTTGAGTTTCTTAGCAATATGTTTTATCACGTAAGCCCGCAAACTTACAACTACTGCCTTAATTAGATCCGACTTGAACACGAAATTCTGTTGCATCCAAAGTATTTTGGTCCCAACCTGATTGAAACCGTCAAGGCCAAATTATTTTCTGATGTTGAGGGCACGTGCTCTGGAAAGTAATTTCTTGTCTAAATTTTTAAACCCAGGTATGGATTTGTTGTCGCAGTCACAAACATTGATCACATTGGCGCTGGCATCCTTCTTCCTGGACGGGGCTTTGTTCAGTACCACATTGTTTACCGGGCTATCGTTTTCCGACCATTTAAAGGGGAAGTTGTTGATGCTCTTGTCACACAAGTTAACAAAGTCGGTATATTTGCGGAAGCTGGGCCTCTGAGCATATTTATCTCAAAATATGTAAGTTATGGCCATTTTCCATTACTTCTAGTCCGTCCCAACTGGTGTAAGACTTGAACCTTCTGAGATTCCAGCTGAACCTGACAAGGAGGATAATAGAGAAAACAATGTAAGATACTTTTTGCTTCCTCTAAATTATTGTTTTTTTTACATTTACGTTTCTGTAATGTTATCTTCGTCGAAATCAAAGTCTGATCACTACTTCCATTAACCAACTATCTTTGCCATGCCTTTCGACGCGTTGAGAATCACGGTTTTTAATTTCTAGCAATTTTAATGCTATTAACGTTGTGCTTGTACTGAATCGGAACCAGTTTTAGCATTAGATGGCACATTGAGACTCCCGGGTTGCCTTTAGTTAATTTTCTGGGTTTTCTGTCCGTTTCCCCTCTATTGACCTCTCGTTAAACGTATGCAAAATAAAGCGGTTATTTCCGGCCCTCCTCTCACCCACTAAAACTGACTTGATCAAAACTTTGATGTGTGAAAATGAACGTTGGGTTTGCTTCCTAATGATTCAGTTAAGGCATTAAAAATTATGTAAGGTCAAAATGCGGTCCTATGTAGTCCTCAGGTTTATTTGCACATTGGCTAAGGCGTGTAAGATGTCGGTTACTCCAAACAAATTGTTTGTCATGCTCTAACCATTTAACATAGAATATTCTCTTTTATTTATATAAAAGAAGCGTTTATGATGAGACATTATTGTTCTGGAATCTTACTGTCAATCTAAATGCAAATTTTCGATAGAATTTCGTTGCGTTCGAAGAGCAATCACAGGCCGTTTGTGCCTTATCTTTAATAAAGTAGCACGAGCTTAACTATTTGTATAACAAACGATCATTAGCCCTACAAACCTCCTGAAGCAGTTATTCCAAGTATTTCAGTCTGCTGACTTGCTAATGCTGATTAGCGCAAGATGGTATGACACCAAACGCCTAGCACGATGAATCTTAGTGCCAAGTCCCCTTAAAAGCATAACGGTTGTTCCATTTTTTCAAGTTTTAAAGTGGCAGACCTTTAATGTGAGGTCTCTTTCGGTTTTTAACATCTGAAGTCAGTATAATTGCTTGACTTGTATGGGTCTTGTGTGTCGACCCACGTGATACAGGTACATGACAGTGCTAGAAAGTGTATCCAAGTTGGGTACGGCTATGTGGTTAATGCCAAAAATGATTTACGGTCAAAAAAATCAGGATCTAACCACCGAATCCAGACTGCTTCAGAATCTTCGTTGTGAAGCCCTCCAATCAAATTTTTCCACTTTTAACTGCATAGCTTTGCCTATAGAAAACACTAAAAAACGGGCAACACCATTTCGGCCCGCTTTTACGAAATGATAGTTAACGAACACCTAGATCGCTTTTATTGTTTAGCGTGAGTCCATTCAAGTGGATGATCGTCTACGCGTACGGATAATTGGATTGCGCGTGGATGCCAGTGCCATCGTAGGTTTCATTCTATCGTATCTAGCATATCCCGTGTTCGTAAAGGCAGTGATAATTAATCTTTCCTATTTTAGTTTGCTGTTGGCTCACTGATGGAAGACTTCTTAGGTTTGTTTCTGGTTTAATATTTGGTTATGCTCTTCCTGAGCTGTTCTGAGGCTCTCGTTGCTTTGAGCAGATAATTCCTACTGCTCTGTAGATACCACTTCCAGTCGCAGTGGTCGCTGTCTAAGCACGCATTTTTTTCCCAACTCAAACTATACTTTCTTTAATTTTAGGTCCTTTTCAGTAGAAGAAGTTGCCAAAATGCCTTGCACATTCCTATGTGTTATAGTAAAGACAATCCAAAAGAGTTTAATTTGTTGCCCCCCTGCAAGGTGTTTTCGTATGTCGTTTTGATACTTCGTCGAGATTAATGTGAGAGGTCCACGGCGGGCTATTCCTAGCATTCGCATTGCTTACCCTCGTTAAGCCCTCTCTACGCACGAGCTTAGGCAACACAACCATTAGTGTTGGTCCGCTTAGTAAAGCGGAAAGGACCGGAAGTACGGCAGATGCATACTGCACACCCATCAGAAATTGTTCAGTAGCATTCATTAGTGAATGGTCGAAGTTCAGTAGTTTGTAGAGATTGTAAAGTGAGCAACAACTGACCCAATAGTTGGCATTTAAAACCTAAAATAAATAAAGTTTGCAGAATTGGCGAATTCTGCATTTTGTAAGATTCAGGTTATCAAAATTAGGACTGCGAACCGAGTGTTCTAACAATGTTTTAACTAATCTGAAAAAATTGTATTGTGACTTTCTCCATACTCCCCAAGAGCCCGCAGATCAGAAGCATATACAATTTTTATTCACGTTTTTTGGTCCCTTCGTAAACGGAACTTTGAGACTAACCCATCTGTTTTCTCCTCGTGTTTGGGCTTCTCACTCGAGATCGGTTCATGCTCAGTAACGTCGGAGAAAGGTGCTACCCGGGAGTAGGAAGACAGTGATGATGTTGTCTCGCGGGCAATGTCACCACAGGAAAGCACCGAATCGCCTGTTTGCGTACTAGGTGTTTTTTCCTCACAATTTGCTCCGGATTTGAGATGTGCTGGCGGCCTTGACTTCGCATGCTCTTTCTTGGTGTAGGCAACCACATCAGCAGGTGAGGCGCTCCGCCAGTCAGTTATGTTTGCGTTCACCGGTAATGCCGGATTATCTGAATGAAGGATAACTATGTCTGGGAGATAGTAAGAGTCCTTTAGCGGCGTCCCAACCTGAGATTTCTCCGTTCGACTACATATGGAAGTGATTTGGGCCGCAGCTCGTCTTTGTTCTCGTTCGTCATTTACGCGCCTTTTATGATTGGCCTGCCACACTTTTTCTTTTTCTGGATCGTATTCCTCCCGTATTTCAAATTCTTTTTCTCCTTCACCGTCAATATTGTTGTCAAAGACGCTGTGGGGTTGCTCACCTTTAACTAACCTTCGAGTAAACGCTTCTCTATCGGCAAGCAGTCTGTGTTGCTCCTCGAGCCGTTTGATTTCGCCTTGAATGCGCTCCACTCGTTTATCAATTATCGATAAAGTTTGAAATGTGGAAGCCTCACAAAAGTGCTCCGCGTTTCCTCCAAGGTAGATAAGAACTTCGTTTGTGTGAATGAGGCGAGCTGGTACGAGAGCCCGAGGCGAAAAGGGGATAAGTGCCTTCTTACTTAAGCATTTTGAGGCAGTTTCGAGCTTCAACTTTAGCTGCATATAGTCGGCGGTGTACTTCCTCAACTGTTGAACTCGGGAAGTCGTCTGTTGGATTGCTTGTTGTTGTTCAACCAGCAGTCTGTCAAAGCGCTCCATCTAGTGTTCCCTAAAACAAAATACACAGCTCATAGGTCATAGGCTGAAAGCAGCGAACGATTGTGGCTACTTGTGACAACCGGTTTTTCATGATGTTACTGTTTCTTTAGCGCGCAAAAGCAAGTTTGCAGATAGCACGTCAGAAATGGTAAGCGGACTGTCCTTTCGAGTTTATGAGCAAGACATTGATGTCGCGGCGTTGACTCCTAAGCCAATCGAAAAAGCAAAAAAATGAGCTGAAATATTGGCTAGAGGGAGAATAAATGCTAATTTTTATCCAATCATTATCACATAACAGGCAAAAGAAGAGGGAGTGCAACCCGGCTTGCCTTACATTACCTGGATTGGCTTTGTGCACGATTTCCCCTCAGGTTACGCAAGTCTACGTGGGCAAATTTCGGCCACGCACTACTGACTTTACTTGGGGTAGATGAGTGGGCAAGTTATTGGAAAAAAAGTGGGCAAAATGTTGAGAAATCAACGAAGCTTATTTTAAGTCAAGCGGACAAATCTAGCATACGAAAACGTGTTAACTTCCTATTGCACTGGATTTTGCAAGTTTGACTTTGTGGTGGTCCAGAAAAGACAAGTAGATAATCGGTGACAGATAAGCCTAACAACATTGTAATTTATTAGTCTGGAGAGCCTCAATGACATTATTTGCGTATGTAGCGTGAAAGCAGACAAAAAGCGCGTCTAATCAGGCTAAACAATGGAGTTAACCACAATCAAATGGGTGCTGCTTGTTCTGGCAACTTAAGAACCACTGATAGACACAAGCAGTATTTTCGATTACTAAGTGAAGTAAGATGTCAGAAGGACTGTAAGATGGTTTACTGAATACATAAGGTTGTGCTTTAAGTTATCACGCAGGGCGCAAGAGGAAATAGGAAGCCGCCAGCGCGGAGTGGGGAGGTGCGAGGGTGGATGTCAAAGCAACAACGAGCAGAACACACATGGGGGAATGGGCAAGCAAGATGCGAGAGAAACTGCCGACAGAAGTGGACCGAGGTAGCCACAAAAAGTTTCGTAAAAATTTGCGCTGCTGTCTAGCAAATAAGTTGTGTTATAAGTGCCTAAAAGTGATAATCAAAAAGCTAAAGGCTTAAAAATTGTGATGCAAATTCAAAGGAACGTAAAGAACACACTATCGAAATAACATGATCGGACTTTCGTTAATATGCGTTCAAGGTAGATAAGTAAAAAAAACTACGCTTACACTTTAAAACCAACAAGACAGTAAAAAGTTGTTAGACCGAAAAAAGCAAAATGTAGAAAGCTAAAAATCGCTGAGAAAGATTAAAAACCAGCACGAGATATCGGATGGAAAGTTTTATTAAATGTAATTTCGTTGTCTTTAAACGAGAATGAACTGGATTCTAATTTAAAACCATCCTACTTTTCTACCAAAAATTTCTGTCCCTATTATTCGTCACAAAAAACATCGATCGTAAACGCCTCTTCGATAATAAAATGTTTGTGGAATACAGAATCTGCGAAGGTACAAAGACAGCACCTAGCAACCACCCAGCACCAACGGGGACTATTCTCTCACAATGAAAGCGACGATTGCGCTGCTGCATAATCCGGAAATTCGGAGTATGCACTAGGCCTATTGGTATTTGAAACACACTAAGTAATCCTGAAAGACCGTTGGCTGGGGAAATCAAAGCAGATGATCCCACTGAAGTCACTCAAACCACCGGTCGACGACAAACGTAGTTACCAGTGTTACTGGACCCAGTGAACACGCCCACTTAATTCGACTAATCATGGTGACGCAGATCTGGTTTTGGCTGCAAGACAATGACCGCATTATTCGTATGAACAAAACATGACTGAAATCAAATCGGGTTCCCGAGTGTGGTGGAAAACGCAGGGATCTGGCGACGCTTCTGTGGTATTCATATGACACGAGTTCGGAGTACCTTTCCGCCATTAACACGGTAAGCCAAAAGATATGCTTCCGCAGAAAATGGCTCTGGTCCTGGCCCGTTAAATTAGCAAAACACAATCCCTAGGTGAAATGAAGGAAAGCGTTTGATGCCGAAAAGACTGAAGGACACTGAGTGCGGTCATTATAAATGCAAAAAGAACGTTTAAATAAAGGACCCTGCAGCAATGTTTAGCAAAAGTAATTTCTTGAAGGAAAAAGCGCATGTAGAAAAATAGGCGTTTATTTTAGCGGTTACAAAAATAGAGTTGATATTGTGGTAAAGACAATTTTTACGCCAGAAAGACGGCGAGGGGAATGTAACTAAGGAAGATCGGTCCAGTTGATTGGTTTCAGATTGTGCTTTTCAAGATAGTTGTTGGCCTTACTGAAATGTCGACAACCGAAAAAGCCCCGGCTGGCCGAAAGAGGCGATGGATGAGGAGCTTCCAACACGAGGTGCTTATTCCTATCGATTCGAGCACCCTGTGCTTGCGCATTTGCTCCCCACAACAAAAAGACCACGTGCTGTTAAAAAAAAACGAAAAATATTAGCCAGGCAAACAAATATGAGCATTTAAGGCGACGCGTAAAGGTAAGAGTTAGTGCCCAAAACGTAGCTAAGAAAACAATACGAAGAAATTCTCAATACAAGCCTTTAACGCAGTTGAAGCTACTCTAAACCACAAGAAATAAACAAAAAAGTCACACCAGTTACTCCGATTTCAGTTAACGGACAATACAGCAGCTTGTTTTTGTAACACTTGGGGCAGCCAGCACACGGAAGTAATGTTATAGCAATTGAGTTTTTGTTGTTGCAACACGACTGAAATTAGACAATACAGATGGAAAATTGATTTAGCGATTCCTCTGAGACTTCAAATGCTGGAGAAACGTAGTAAGATGAATAAAAATACTTTGTGTTCTCTCAATCAGATTGCAAGTCGTGAAATCTAAATGTTCCACGCTAGGAATAAGAACGTTTTGACTAAAGGTGGATGACCTTACCGAGCAACTGGTGTTGATATGGTTGATAACGGCATTTGTGAGTTTTTCCCACCCACGATCCTTGTGTGAATTTGGTTGAGATCTTCTCACCGTGAGTACAGCATTAAGTAGAAGGACGCCCTGTTCAGCCCAGTGAGTGAGATCGCCGTGGTTGGGGGGCCAGCCCTCAGCAGCAGACACCTCGCAATCCGAAGCAATTTCTTTGTACATATTGATAAGGCTCGGAGGCGGATTTTGAGGCCTCTTCACGGAGAAGGCTAGCCCGTGTGCCTGCTGTGGTCCATGGTACGGATCTTGGCCTAAAATAACCACACGCACCTTCCCAGGTGGCGTCAGTCTGCTCCACGAGAATACCTATAACATGGAAAATTAACTATTAAACTGGATTGTTACTACTCCACCTTCGTCAAAGACACAGCCCTAACACAATGGTAGTGATTTTACGTCAAAATAAATGGTAGGAGAACAATGAAGCGACAGACGTAGTTAAAAAGCAGAACTTAGAGAAAGAAGGGTTGCGTTGAGGGCACAGCGAAGCATCACAACGGAGTGTTGATTTAGAGAATCAAACTGCAAGTCGTGAAATTTGGAACCTTAGCCTCCAAACGTGGTTTAAGACGAAAACACAAATCTTATTGGAGAATTGCCAAATACTTGTCTATTGTCAAAAATAATTTAATTTCCAGGAAGGAACTGACAAGAACCATGATTCCAAAGACTGAATACATGGCATTGCTAAGTCCGAATTAATAGGCTTAAGTAAAAATTCTGCTTGATAATTTACCATATAAAAATAATCTAACCGATTGACGTTACGGCTACCAACTTCATCAAACCTTCAAATGATGGCTTGAACCTTGGATTAACATTTTAGAGTTCCATTGTGCATCAATCAGCGCACCTGGAACATCTCTTGCATGCACATTATGCTAATTAACGTCTCTGTACAAAGTCCCGAGTACTTCTCTGCAATATGCCTAGTTAATGATCTAAAGCAAAAACCACATTCAGAAAAAGTTCTGTGAAAGCTGTCTCGATGATATCTCATTTCACCGAAAGACGGGTAATAACGCATTGATGTTAGTTGAAAGGGTTCACAAGAGCCCACTTACGCAAAACAGCTCTTGGGTAAATGAGTTTAGACGTTACTAACGAGGGCTTTGGTCTGAATTCGGGTGGATGGAAGTATCACACCCCTATAGCCGTCTTCGTGGCCATTATTACATACATGAGACCGAAAGTTCTGATAAGACAGTGTGGGGATGCGGACTACAAACTACAGGAATTAGGACAGAATGAAGACCAACAACAAGAGATTCGATAGATTTCTGGGGTCTCAATCCACTAGTTGAGGAAATGGCGAATATATAATTATACATTTACCTGGTCTTCAGGTGGATACACAGTGGTCTCGGACCGCTCGTGCTCAATAAACATAGCTAACTTCGCGAAAGAATCAGTTTGAATGACACTTGCCAGGTGATGGCACCATTCCGGATCCATATTACGAATTAGCGTTTTAACTGGATTTGCCAGCTTAAGTTTAAGCTCTGCAACTCTGCGATTAAATTCTGACCGTTGTACAACGTCGGTTGATAATGCTTGGGAGTCTTTACTTGCGCTAGATGGACTCTTTGAAGATCCTGAGAAGTCTGTGCGCTGCACTTTGGGCACTCGCGCTTCATTTGAGAGGGTGCTCTCTGAGAGGGGTCGCTTCAAAAATTTAAGAATTGATTGTTGAGAAGACATAGAAGGTGGTAACAGGCCGAGAACCAGAAGCCGTGACAGGAGTTTGAATGTGCGAAAATCAACTGTGGGCAAACACAAAGCACGTCCAATTATGGTGTTAGAACATGGCAGCGCCAATAAATTGAATCGCCTTAACATAACGCAGACATGTTGGATTACTCCGAAATCAGCCAATTCACTGTCCCCGTGGGTTTGATTAACCCACATTGTGGAACAGCAGCCAACCAGAGATAGGGATGAATGAGAGCATTAAACAATTGGCGGCGCAGCCAGCGCAGCAGACGCGGATGGATGGTGTCGCACGGCGTTATCGGCTTGTGGTTTAATTATAAAGATCCTTTCATCAATTATGTCTTATACAATCCAGAACTCGGGTAATCCACACTGTCGGAGAGCCAATCTATTGTCTCGCTGCTGTCTAGCCACAGTCGTAATAGAGCCACAGCTGCACAAAGAGACCCCATAATCACAAATGACATATGACACGCTAGAATCCTAATTTATCATAGGAAAAGGCGTAAGAAAGAAATGTGAAGGAAGTACTTTGAAAGTGAATCAATAAGTGGAAACCAAAACAGGCATTGCATTACAGCTGGTGTTGCTGATGATCTCTAAATGTAAACTGAGTGTTTTTTGTTCTGTTGTAGTCATTAATGTTTTTGTAATATAATTATATTTTTTAGTTGTTTGAATGGCATTTGTCACGAATTAAATACATTTGACTTCATTCTGATTGACTGGATGAGCGACTGAGGCTACGGTAAATGGATATCGTTTCAACCCTGGTTTAAAAATTTCTGGAGCTCTTCGTTACTTGTTTGATAATATTTTAATATCACACAATTCTGGGTCCTTCTACCATAAAAGTTGGGTCTGATTCAATTATCCTGTGTCCTGTTACAACCACCAGGCATCGGCAGCGATTCGACCTCACGGCAAAGTTGAAAAGTTAATAAGTGCGCAATATCTAATCGCACCATTACGAGAAGGGACTGGAATCGAACATACAAAATAACCCTTTGACTTCAAATAAATTATTTATTTACATACAGTGCGTATTAATTTCACAATGTATATTAGCATTGATAAAGGATCCCATCAAAAAATATCAGTTAACTGTCTGTAGCAACGCCAAAGAGCCTATAAAATTATTAGAAGCACAATCCCTTTTTAAACAGTCATAATGTTCCACGTCTATTTGTATATCGACTTTCATACGTAATTATATCAAAAAAAGAAAATAAATATTTTATGCCATGCTGCTGAACACATATAGAAGCAAAGTGAGTGACATAAAATTAATAGCGACGTCATATATTGTGTTCAACGTTACAGTCATCTCTTTTAAGAAATTATAAGGCTGTTGTGGCATGATACTCGCGATGAAGAATAAGGTCGGAGAGGACGAGGACACAACCATTTACTTCAGAGTTCAACCATATTGGTGTCTTCGAGTCGTGTGTGAGGTGTGTACATGTGTATTTATACCTCGGATGTGTGAGTCATACATGCACTAACATCGAGACCTATGTGTGAGGATAATCCAAGATAAATATCCGTTTGAATGAAAAGGGAGTTAAGGATCCGTCGGATGGCAATATACTGCAAAAAAGGGAGCCCTGTATCGGAGGTGGATTGACTGGTTTAAGGGTGTGATTAAACACGATTCACAGCATAAAAACTAACGGCGATGTAAAAGAAATACTTGGAAAAATCTTTAAAGGAGTAGTTTTATGGGAAACTGAGTTCTCATGGAACATTTATAATGTCATTCGCATTAGCACACTAATTTGAACAGAACTGGATAGCTCTGTTAGAAAACCTTTGAATTGACACCTGTGATGAAATAACGCAGTTCAAATTTATGAATATGATAAAATGGTGTTCATCTCCAGAAAAGCATTTCTGATTAAACGTCACGAGCTACTATAGTTTGTGTCCTTGAAAGGTGTGTCTGCCGTTTTCATGGTAGAAATGAGAAAGAAAAGTGAGAAACCGGTTTTCAGGTCGACCTTTCGCCGTAGAACCGCGTGAAGAAACACATTTGCATTCATTGTTAGCCCTGTTGCTTTTCAGGTGACAATCGGATTCTTTTGACCTGCTCAGTCGCTGGAAATCAATGTTAAACTCAACTAAACAATTTATTTTAATGCCTCTTTAATTACATAATTCTTCGTAAATACTTGGTAGAGGTTACAACTGAAAGGGTGGTCATTTTTACTAGGGAGGAATTCACACTGCATTCGACGAGGATCCACGTAACTTGTGTCAGCTTGATAAGCACGGCGTTCCGGTCTACTCTAGTTGAAGTGTAAACATGGTGGTGGAATGCTCTGCTTTGAGTCTACTACTGAATCGAAGAAGATTTGTAAACATCGTCATACACATGGCCAGTGCTCAGGATTTCCTATTCGATAGATTTATCGTCTACTTGGCCATGGGCCATGCTGATCTTGTTGCACAGTCCCTCCTAATCATCGTCCTTATTTGAGTGTTCTCTTGTGCAATCTCAAACAGCTGTCCTGATAATCTTATCGAGATGTGTTAGAGGAAGCAGTGTTTTATTGAGACGCCCCACAGTGGATGCATCATGTGTATTGTTTGTGCATGAGGCGCGCAATTTATTTGCCCCCTTGATACTATTAAAATGTACACTGAAAAAGCACACCAATCACCCATTCTCCAAATATTTGGTGCTGTTCGTGCAAGCAGGTACGTGTTTGTTAAGTAAACTTAGGTTAGGGAAATCATTGCGTCTCTTTCACTCTGATAGAGGACCTGTTGAGATGTACTATATTTAATTGAAAACGCACGGTAGTGTCCAGCACGTTGTACGAAAAGTAGTATAGATTTGGAGGGGAGGTGATTTGTATTGGAAATTGTGCAGAATGTATGGTAATGACGAACTGCCCTGAACAACAAGATGTGCGCCACCTCACTGTTGTCTGTTGCGTAATCAGTCGGACGGAACTAGGCTTTCTCGTGCCTTGACGATACATCCATTAGTAAAGATACTATGCGTGAGCATTTGAAGATGTGTGACCAAAATTGATTTTGCATCGGACATGCGACCACGAGGTTGGGCAGGAGTTTGTTCGGACGCTGGTTGCGAGGTCGACGAGTAAACCGAAAAAGTTGAAGACAATGGTCAAATGAGTGCCTGCAGGTAAGTAGAAAGAGCTGAACTGTTGACTGTTGAGGGGACACTGGAAAGGTTGATGGTGGATTGTCGTTGGGCAGTACTGGTACAACAGACATGTGAGTGCCTAAGTCAGTAAGGAATCGCACACGAGCCGATGTGCCATGTATAAAAAGATGTCAAATCAAGTGTTTGGCAGGAGATGGCGTCTTTACTGTAGGGAGTATTTGTTTTGCGACCACATTGCGAGACTATGTATTATTAGGAATACACGGAAGCTGGTAGTGGAGAGTCGCACTTCTTAAAGCTCGGTGGTACCAGCATGCGTGCTGAGAACCAGAACTTGAAGGTGATGTGTGATGTGACGGAGAGCGTTGACGGACACGTGAGTGGTGATACATCGGAGCAAGCAGTAGGTTTTTGGGGCCTCGGTAGGAATTGTAGGTTACACAAGGAAAAGAGGAAAGCCTGAGTCAGTGAGAGAATGATTGCTCATAATGTGACTACACCAGGTTGTTTTTGGCTAGCTGATGCAGCCAGGAGAGTGGGACAAGGGCTATTGGTGGATCTGGTCAAAGTGAGCCAATTGACAGACACGATAGTGTGATAGATCAATCACACCATGCAGATGTGAGTGTGAAACGTGACTTGATGACCGATGACGGCAGAAGTGAATATACTGCACATATATTGTGGTGAAGCCATTAGTTTCCGACCGAATTACACATAACCGAACAGACTACGTATTTCGCTGTTAGTAGGTATATTAGTCCTATATAGACGAAGCGTTCAATAAAACAGGAAACATTCGGTGTAGTGTTCTTTGGTTCCATTGGCGCGAGTGACCACTTGTTCAACTAAGTAACACTAACCAATCTCAGTGGAAACCGTGAATTTAACCCAAATAGAAATGTAGGCGCTAATATGTACAATTTGACCATTTCCGTATGTTGCGCTAGTGGTTTGCAAGCTAAACCATACCAAACATCAGTGACAAGAAATTAAGAAGTGCATTTCAGGAAATGAAATAAGGGTTCCAAGAGGAAGAGCAAGGGTTAAAAAGTGAATCCAATATTTAGGCAACCGAAACAAAACAGTTTTACGTTGGGCTGCAATGTATTGAACTCTCAAAATTTATAAAAGCAAAGATTTGGGGAAATTAGTAATCCCTCTGTAACACAAATCAACTTAAGCTGGATACCGAAATGTCCTTTGTCCGCTTATTCCAGAGAGAATAATGACCGTTTCCGTTAAATGATCGATAAATTGTATGAAAACTTGTAAGGGTGCTGTCAAAATGTATTACCTAATAAAGCAGGTTACCGCAGGAGAATGTCGCAATGTTGAATGACATTGATTAAATATTCCATTAAGGAAGTTTTACAAACAAACACCAAGACGTCCTAAGATTTCATTGGTGAACTCGCAGTGACCTATCACAAATACCCAAGTAATACCGACGATGGATGATCACAAGTATAGCTCCTTGCTGTAACTTTTTAGGGAGGATAGTTTTACGTGTGCTTGTCTGCATTTGAGGTTAGATGAAAGTGGCAGTCGGCACTCCACTCAATTGACGACGGGTGACGTCATTTAATCCTCTCTAAATTACACTTAATTTTGCTTCTTTTTGTTTTTGGAGCGCCGCTTCGTAGTGGGGGTGTAAAAACAAACACGTGATTTCCCCTCTACTTCTGTGTCTCAGTTTTCCGTTTTGCTCGCAGGGACACGTGGAATTTACTTGGTTGCTTGACAGTCCCGTGTATTATCGCTTAGAAATACTACTTTTTAAACTTACTACTTGTTTCATACATAATATAGCCTGCTGCTTGCTGCTTAACATGACATATTTGGTGCAGCCTTTTAATTTTAAAGGGTTGACGTTGTCGATCTGCATTTCTATTTTCAAGTAATCGACTTGAAACTGCCTAGCTCAGTATTAATAACAATACCTGTGGTGATGGCTCTGGGATGGAATCTGCACTGTAGTGGTGCCATGTGGCATTTGACGACATTATGCATCAAAGCCTCTGCTGTCAACGCCTCATTGTGATGTGTGTGCATTTATAAAGTACGGTTTGCACAAGGCGAGTGAACGGTGTGAGGGAGCCAAGAATGATTAAGGAGAACTCATAGACCCAGACAGCATTTAGATAATCCGTATAGCCCCAAAATAAAAGGCCAACACTCCGCCTCTCTCTGACACCGAATGAGCTTCGTTCCTTCTAGTGGGGAAGATTAGTGTCCAATGCCACATAAACTTGGGTGTTTTTTATGCATTTGAGGAATATCTGCACTCTAATGGCCGACTCGGCTCTGAACTACCATTGGATACTAATACACTTCAAATTCGGACTTAAAACCGCTTTTACCACGGAGCCCAGGGGAATTGAGCTAATGCAAATGCGGCACGCAACACCACACACTAAACATTTTGGGCTTTTATTTTTTGTGCAAAACACAGACATGACTTTCATTGTGTCCAACTAGGCGATGCTTTCACTACCACTAACAGTGAATTATAACATCGATGTCCAGAGGCTATTTTGCACTGCCTCACTAAAAATGGCCAAATTGTCGTACGCTGAAACACTGTTCGTTGTCTCAGCCACTTGGCTAACCAAACGAGCCCATTCCAATTTAGTGAAGAAAAGGCTTGTGTGCAAATTTCAAAGGTCCTGTACGAGGAGGTCGAAGGACTACCACCCGGTATTGCCTGTATTCATTCCAATTTATCCGTACTTGTGCAGTTGCGATCACTGACCAATACTAACCCCGCCAGGACCGTCAATAAAATAACACCAGCATACAGACGACGAACAAAGTACATGCAGTTCATGCTGCTGGGGTCCATCCCGAGTTTAAACTACCAATCTTAGTCGGCATCTTTGACCTTAGGTTCGCTACCATTGGTAGCCAGGCCAAAAGCATAGACAGGCAGCCTCACCGCCTACCAATGGTGGCATTGGATTCCTGCAACATGGAGCAATCTTTCGGAGGCAAGGCATACGGCCATAGCGAGTGTGGAACTCGGCCGAAGTGTCAACCCGTAGACCTCTGCTTGTGCTTTTAGAACCTGTCGATTGTGCCTGACCGTCAATCTGCTCCATGCTTCCTTTCATGACGCAATTGCTTCGAAACGTTGCTCTAATGGCTGTGAAAAAATGACCACCGCCATCAAAATGACAACTTAACCAATGGACATTTTTGCGTAAAACGCCATTTATCTCGTGTTGATTCAGATTTACTACCCAAGCTATTTCTTGGGCGCTTTCATAACTAAGATATAAATGTTGTGATATCGGAAACGAAGACCTTTGGTTATCCCAAAACAGTTCTACCTTGAAACAACCAACAATATGTTCAGGAATTTGCAACCGACGAGCGTGACAGAAATACGACACGACTGGGAGGAAGTGCAGCGGTAGGCACTTAAAACCCGAAATGCCTACCGGTGTGCCTTGTTGAAATACAGACAAAATAAAAGGGGATGAAAAGGCTCTTAGTGTGAGTTTTGACACTTGAAAACCGATGGACACGTGAACCCTGTTTAACGCCCCGACTTTTTACCCTCTGACTGCATTATGTGCTTGGGTGTTGCCATGTTATAATTGCAACAACCATATCCACGCATCTAAAACCGCTTAATAGAAAGTCGAGAATGCAAAAGGTACCACTTACATCATTTATTGACAAGTTAAGGTTAGCACAAAACACCTACAAACCACAATTACAAACAAATGCCCGGAATTTTCCCTCAAATCACAAAACAAAATCGCAATTCAAACTTTTATTAATGTTGACAACGCTGAGACATAATTTCATTAACCTAAAGCTACGAAAATGATAACAAGAAAAGTATGCAGAGCATATTTCAAAAATAAATGGATAGCAAAGGCAACTGCACGCCTAGCAGCCCTTCTTTTGAGTGCGAGTGCGGTTGGATTGTTCTGCAAACAAAATTGTCAGGATCAAGGAAGAAAAAGTTCGAGATGGGCGCACTCCGGAGGCGTTTAAGTGGCTGTGAGTTGACACCTAAAACCAGAACATCCAGCTTATCGAAGTCCCCGTAGGAACGCAGAGCCACGTACATAAGAACTGGGTTCTTACAATATGCACCTAGCACGGCTCGCATGTCCTTTTGCATGGGTCTGGAGCATTCCTTTTCGGTTTGACGTCTACCTTCCATGGAGGGAAGCGGTGAAACGGGAATGTCGTTGAAAGCACTTCTACATTCAAGCTGGTGTTTCTGGTCAGGAATAAAAAGAACGACGATAAAAGGTTTAGAATGCGAATTGGCTGACTTAAGTGCAAAAATAAGGGGTAGTGGTGGACCAATGTTTCAGAACCTGCCATCCGCCAGATCGTAGAGCGACTATTACGCAATTTCGAGCATAAAATTTATTGACTGGGAAACAAAATAATATTAGTGATGCATCAAAATGCTAAAAAAGAACAGTAAAATGACAAAACGCAATTGAATATAGCTAGACCGTAGGCTTAAAGCTCATCCCAAAGTTGTGCCTAATAATCACCTAAAAAATTGACGCACATACACACAGACGTGACCGGATGGGGGTCATTCCAGCGGATAAATCAATAGCTATCTCCACCTCAGCATCTCGATTCCTCACGTCCCTCTTGTCACAAAGTGCACTTTCCAAAATGCATTACGGTAAAGCCACCAGTTGAACTCAGAGCCTGCGACGTTTGCGTATTGACAGCTGTACCGTCAATCAATGAATGCGACATTGTAAGCGACGTTCTCTCGTCGAGGTAGAAGGTTACTTTCACAGCTCTCACTCCTATACCCATGGTTGTTAACCTGAATGGGAATTTCGAGGCACACTCAAAAGTGCGACAAGGAAAAAATCTAGCTTTGAAGTACCCCACTGTAATGCTAGTGTGTCTAAAGAAGGCTTTAAGAGCACTGTTTTTAATGGGAGAACAGAGAGGCACATACCTAGGGCGGCCACACACAGAGTAGACGGTTGTCGGCTTGGAATGAGTGGAGGAAGAAGCGGCTGCATTATCGACGGGAGACTGGTTAGAAGATGGCGCATTTGCAGGTTCTTTGGCCTTGGAGGGTCCTGAGGTGATGGCCTTTGGGGCCCGAGACTTAGTGGTAGGAGACCTATTTAGTACTTGACACAAAGAGGGAGACTGTCTTTTCTTTGGTTTCGCACGGCCATCATTTTCATTTTCATTGCTCTATGAAATTATGACAAAATGCAACCTCTGGTGAAGGAGACTCGTGCTGTTACTTGCAAAGTATATTGACTGGGCCTGCATATTTTCCAATATATCTTTAAGCTTGAATACCAACAAGCTCTGAGAAAAAAAACATCAACTTCAACTACGATTTCTATTTGGCACTTCAAGGCAACACACTTCATTCACAACTACTAGTGAGGATTTAAAAAATGTTCAAACGAAACCTATGTTTATTCACACTTACATAACACAAGAGATCAGCCGATAAAGAGACGACCGTACTAATTCAAAGCCACATAAGGCACTGATAATGTCACCAGGTTAGATGAAAATGGTAGGCTTCGAGGTGGGGAAACAAGTGGATCGAGCTTGCCTTTAGTGTATCGTGTATTTTGCGTTGCCTGGCGCGGGTGGCAGCAGTGCTGGTGGTCAGGCTATTTGGGGGGGTGGTTGCGGTCGCGGTCGCGTTTGCGGTTGCGGTAGCGTTTGCGGTTGGGGTCGGGTTTGCGGCTGCGTTTGCGGTTGGGGTCGCGTTTGCGGTTGTGATCGCGTTTGCGGATTCGGCGACTGTGCCGGTGGCCTCGACGTGGGATTGAGCGTTCGCGGCCAACTTGGCGGCCATGCCTCTGCCATCGTCAACACTAGAGGTGGTGCACTGTGAGTCATCACCGCATTTCGACTTCGAACCATGCTCAGACAAGGCCGTTTTCCCCTTCAGGTTCACCTCATTTCCAGGCTCTAGGTTTTTCGATGCTTTCTAAAAAACGATGCAAGATGTTACGGCATTTTCTGACCACAATTTTGACCACATCAGGTGACGTAAAAAATTAGGTGTATTCACGTTTTTAAGTGTTCCCGAAGATATCTACACCAAGTTGCCAAGGGTACCAATAATGAAACGAAGGAGATGGCCAATTAAGATCATATTAGACACATGTAAGCCATCGTCGAAAAACCTATGCACTATCGCGCACCTTGCTTGAATCTAAAGCAAATCAGAACCCTGAATTAAAACTTCAAATATTCGCCAAAAAGCTGCGCAGGGATGGTTAACCTGCTAAGACAAACACATGTACTCCGTTAAATAAAATGTTTAACAAGGTTGACTAACAGCCAGGTAAATCAAATGCCGTCACCTTCATCGCCAATGCAACTGCAAAGAGAGTAAGACCGATTGGGTGAGCACCCACGTGGACACCAAAATCAATCTAGGTTAACCAGATCTACCCAACTAACAGTTAACTACTTGATACACCCTTGACTTGCACAACGTAATGAGCGGCGAAGGTTCTATCCGACCTATCATTATAGTCTTCTAAGGAATCTAAAAACATTTTTCTCGGCGTTTCAAATTGAATTTTGGTATGGATTTGGTGGTCGCAGAAGTAAAAAAGTACGTCCGCTTCCACAACAGAAATGGCACAAAGAGAAAGATATTAATCAGCTTTGAGGACTACCTCGACGGAAGTGGTGTTGGCATAGCCTGACGAAATATGGCTGCTGAGTTCTTTCTGACTCCCGTCTAAATGCTTGAAGACCTTTGAATCGACGTTCGGTGGCTCAATATAATTGGACGGTTTGTAGCCTTGCTTCGACAGGGCGGGGCCTTGTAGGATTTGAGAGGCACCCAACGGGAAGGTAGGAGTGTTTCCGAACCGGCCAAGGGCCGAAAGGGTCTCTTCTGCGTTGCCCGCGCCATCTACCACTGACTTTGCTGTTTCGGCCTCGTGTTCCAAGAAGGAGCGCAATGACACTGATACTGATGCGCTATAGGACTTACTCTCCGAATCAAGCGACTCATCCACAGTCTTACCGCGTGACTTCATCGGCGATACATTCCCTGAACGCAGCTATAATAAAGTGTCCAGCTTAAAAGCCATTAACCGATATGGAAAAGAGTAGTGGATTTAAACAACACTTACGGGATTAGCATCAGGTGAGGCTGTGGTTTGACCGCCAACGTTAGTACAGAAAGTCGTCATTGAGTAAAACGTCGGTTGGTAGACACAGCGAGCATTCCTGTAGTTTATTTCGACAGTTGCAGTCACTTGTTCCAAGTCGTCACAGCGGCCAACGGTAGGAAGCGATTGAGACGCACTATTAAGGCCTAACTTGTTCAACACTAGTGACTTGTTACTACCGGACGCTGGAGTTGGTGGAAATGATTCCCCTCGTAGTTGCGTTAGTGTTGAAACAGGGCTTGAGGAACCTTCATGTGGGAGGCCATCTTGTGTGGATTGAAAACAGCTACCTTGTCTGTTATTAAAGGTGGCGGGATGCACAAACTGCCCACTAGGGGGTTTCTTGTCACAGGAAACTGACACCGTAATCTTTAGAGGCATTTTTTGGCACGCATCGCTGGTAGCTGGGGTTGCCTCCAATTTATCAGAATTGTTGGAATAATTGTCGGGTGAGGAAGACGAGTTATTGGTAGATTGAACAACCGAAAATGAATCATTAGACAAAAGCGACGAAGCTCCATCCGCCGATACGCTGTTTGAAATGTGGGTATGAGTGTCAGCACTAGAAATTTGGTACAGTGAGCATGGCACATGTTTCTGAAACGTCAATATTCCCACAGAAGCGTCGCCCACTGGTTTCGAAAGCACTGTACCAGGACTTTCCGAAAAAGTAGCACAAAACTCATCGTTAAGAGCGGGATTGGCGGCAGCATTATTAACTGAGACTCCACCTATCATGCACAACTGACGGCCCAACGACAGTTCTGAATGAGCTGCCTGGAACCAGTCCTTTCCAGAGCCAGTCAGTGGCTCGGATTGAGAGCACGGCGGTGATTGGGATGATAAAGAGCTAAATTGATTTGACGGGCGGCTCGAAGAATTCTGAGTGGTGTCAGTGAGAAAAGAAGTGGCGAGCCTCACCTCCGGATTCTCCTTAGCTCCTAGGGTGGTAACGACGGGTTGAAGGCAATATTTGATGGCTTGAAACCAGATACAATTGCGGGATGTCACGGGTGACGATTCACGAGAAGTTAGCGTTGGTTTACTAGGAGAGCTGGGGCTGGTTAAATCAAACCCAGTAGTCACCGGATGACAAGAAGTTGATGGGGAAGAGGAATAATTTGGCAAAGTTACTGAAAAAAGGCGAGACGCTGAATTACAAATCGCTGAATCACTACTCGAAGGACGCGAGCTGATGGAGAGGTGGAAGTTGGTGCTTGCAACCTTTAAAAAGGAAAAGCTGACATCAGCCGTTTGGACAAAATGCGACTTTGCTCTGATAAGCAAATCCGATATATTGCTAGTTGTGGGCAGTTCTTTGTGCATTAATAGAGGTAAGTAATGTAGTTAACCATAAGAACTGTGTTAATGATAGCACAGACCATTTGGGATCCAGCATTCCCCTAGACGGCTCATCGTCCTTGTCTACACAACTCACCTAGCCACGCTACTCCAGCGGGTGCGTCGCCCGCGGCACTCGACTAACAGCCCCATCTGTGTTAATCCACTTCATTTATCGGGTCAAGGTCATTCTTGACTTATATACGTGGGCGCATTCAGACAGATCACTCGGCCTTTGGCTGAGGCATTAAAAGCTCAGTGCACGAGGCCCTGCCTTGTCTTGCATTAACGTGGGAGGGTGGAGTGGCTAGCGTGTGATAAGGGATCTGAGGTGCCGGCTGTCTGAGTGAGTGTGTGGTCCTGGTTACGGGCAAAACGTAACACAGACATTTGATGCTCCAGTAAAACGCTAAAGCGAGATATGGCTTTTGAGTCTATAGCACTACGCTCCCAGGTTTTGCTTATTTGCAATAGTCTCCGGGCGACAAAAAATGACTCGGCTAAGCAAACCTCGAGATTGCTGCGCCTCTAGGCTTCACAACTAAAGCAACTTTTGTGTCAAATTACTAGACTGCTTCTGTCAGGGTAATGCATAACAACGCACCAAGAAACGTCAGTATTGCCACAGTAAATAGACGAGAAGCAGTCGACTTCACTACACGTGTTCATTAGGAAATAAACTTGCATACATAATCGGGCCAAACACGTGCTGAAGCCAAATTAGTAATAAAAGTTTGTTCGGACAGTGAATTGGCTTAATTTTGTGTGTTTAGAATCATTTAGGTAGGTGAAGGATGCTGCTACCGAAGTAAGGCCAACTTGTACATTAATGAGACAACCCGATCCATATCAGATCAGCAGTTAAAATTACAGTGATTCCTGGCAAACGAATCCCACGTGCGACAGAAAAGCACAATGGATATCCTCTAGCGTACAAATATCCTCCAATGTACTTACAATGTCGGTGTTTGACTGATCCAACGGTGGACTGGGCGAAGGAACTGCCTGTGAAGCTGGGTTCACGGCAGTGATTCTTCTTGAAGAAACAAGAGTGGCACCGGACACGGATTTTGGCGAAGATGGAGCACTGCTCCTTGACTGTGGATCCTCTGAGGTTCGACGAGCGGATTTAACTGGCTCAGCAAGAGGACGATTAGGAGGGCTTACGTGGAGCGCTGCCAGCGATTCCGACGCGGATCTTAGAGAAACCGGTACGTCAAGTGAGGCTGATTTAGAGAAGCGGGCACGGTCATGCACCGTCTGACTGGAGAGCTCAGTGAACTGATCTGAAGGGCAGCTGGACGAGCTCCTGTGAGATACCTCGGAATTTGAACAAGAAGGCACGACAGGACGACAGTCTGCCTTCATTGAGGATTCCAGGACGAACATAGTAGGTGCCACGGAGTGTGACGAAGCATCCGGAATATGCGACTTGTTCGACTGACCAGCACGGTATGCGCCTGCATAAACAGAGCTTGGGCTTATAGTGACGCTCTCATGAATGCTTCCACTGTTCAAGCGTGATACCCTTGATTTCTCGTAAGAGGCCTCAGTTAACTGACCTGGAACGTCGCCGAACGAACACTTGATCGATGATCCTGGATCGGAACTCTCAAGAACAACGGAATCAAAAATAACCTCTTTTGGGCTCATTGGAGGGTGAACATTTGAATCCTTTAAGCTGTAAGGACTACCTGGAAGCTTGTTGTTGTTCAACTGATCAACAAAAGGGACTTGAATTTGTTCTGTGGAAACAGTGCTCAATGTGGCATCAGAGTGGACTTGTGAACAAGAAACCGATGATGACCCAAGGCTGGAACGTACTGAAGGAAGATCCCGGTGCTTTGGTGCTCCAAACCTTTCCTAGAATGCACAAGTCAAATATAACAATTTGATATAACATGGGCATTTAATAGTTGTGCTAGTGACAAACCTTTAAGTAAAATTTCAGGAGTTCGTGCCTTCTAGAAGATGTTTCCTTAGGAAACTTATCAGGAAATTCCTCATTGCCGCTTATGGTAAAGCGTTCTTGGACCTCTTCTTGCACTAAAAAATAAAACGAGAGCAATTCGAGACTCAAATCTATAGAAAGTTGATGTGATACAGTCAAATTGCAATCAGAAACTAAAGTTGATTGATTAGATGGTGAAATATTTATTTTGTGAGGTTTTACGCGCGTTTCAACGATGCACACAGTAAAGAGTTCTCGTCTTAATGAATAATTAAAAATGATAAAACATGTGAAACTAGTGAGCAGCTTTGCAGTTTGTGAGAATTTGTCTTAATCGCAATCCATTGTCCTTTCAATCGGAATGTTAACATTAACGTCGACATTCGAAAAAATAATCTGCAAAAACGCTCGTGCCCCGCTGCTACATTTGTGACCTTTACGGAAGTGTTAATTCGGCAGAATCTTGTTTCCACGACTCCCTTATCAAATCGGAGTGTAAAAGCGTAATCAGTACAGACATCAGCAACTATTTTAGTTAATTTTTTGACAAGAAATGACATGTGATCAAAATACACAGACATTGCATATTCAACTGCAGAGTTATGTTTAATTTTAATTATTAACAGGTAAAAATGAGAGCGATGCTTGGAAGTAAGAAACTAACCGACGGAACCAGGAACTTTTGGGATGTCTGGGTACCGAATAGTAGGAGAGAAAGGTCGCTGGGGTGGAAGAACAGCTGTGGGAAGATGTGTAGTTACGGGCGAGGTACTTTGGAAGTTGTAAGGACTGTCGGTAGAGGACAACGAATTTAAGTGAGTTTCAGAGTTATCAGACGATGAGGAGTGAGTCTGTAGGTTCGGCGATGAGCAGGACGTTGGACTGACAAACAACCGTGCTTGCGACCGACTACTCTCTACTGAAGACGGTGACTCATGAAAAATGGGCTGGTGCAATGCATGGGGGCAATACTCCTTCAAAGAGTCACCAACCTCCACTTGTGGTGGTTGTTGAGACCGTTGAAGAACAGGTATCGGCTTAAAGAAAAATATTGATAATAAAAATTGTGAAACAATAAGTAAAAAAGAAATTGGTAAAATCTCACCTGAACTAGAGGGGGTGATCGCGATTGTGCGGTGCTTTGGGAGGAGCCACTTTTGGATCCCTGAAGGGAAGCCGTGCAGTTAGTTCCACGGATACGCTCTATCTGCCGAGAGACCAATTCGAGTGCTCGCCTACGCAAGTGTTCCGTAATAACTACCTGTCCGGTATCAACGTTTGCCGCTGTTGGCAAGCTTTGCTGCTCACTACCGCAGGGCCTAACGTGACAACTTAAGCCAACGCGAGACACAGTCGAGTCTTTGGTCGAAATGGAGTAGTCGGGGGAGGGAGCGCAACTTGGTTGAAACAAAGTCGCTGGATGTGAAGGTAAGAGCTGACAGCATGACAGCGACGTACCAGACGAAACGTGCCGTGTCTTCGATCCATTACTTGTCCCCGTCTCTTCGCTCGAGCCTCCCTAAAGTAGAGACTGCTGTGATGGTGACATAAAAAAATTTACCTAAACACTAAGTCGGTTAGATCTGGCATAATCAATCACTAAATAGTTCGCAGCGAGGGCTTACGGAACATGGTAACTAGGGTTAATGGAAATCCCAATGTAGAAATGCATACCACTACTTGAATGGATGGTTGCACAAGAAAGCACTTGGTAAGCAACAGAGCAATTTCATCGTCTGTATTGCAACGCACTTGAGCACTACGATGAAAGTCCCATACGAGAGGCCTTGAACGGTTACACGTCAATTCACATCTGCCGCCTCCGCCCACGCATGTCCTGACCTACCGATCGCCTCGCGCAGACCTGCGTAGTTAAGCGATTCCATCCTTCCAACCTTATTTTTCGCTCAGCTTCCACTAATTAAGACCACCTACAGGCATTACTCCCCTTATAGACGCCTGAGATTTACAATCTGCGGCGATGTTGTTTAAGTGGCACACAAGTTGGTTGTGCTACCTGGTAAGCAGTCTGATTCCCATGGTCTCCGACACTCTCCCCCTTCCCTCAGGTGGAACACCGATCGCAGTTCAATTGAAAAAAAACCCAACGTGCACTTGCGTGTACTAATAATAAAGGCCTCATTCAGCTAAATCAGGACAACACAAGTAACTGATAATACTAAATTATTTGATGCAACGGCTATCGCGTAAATTGTAGGAAGTGCTCACTTACAGATAAAACTAAAACAACGTGACTTGATTAAATGTACCCACAAAAAGATTGGAACAAAAATACGAGTACAATTGAGACAGCAAAAGCTAACAGGGTGCATTTTGAAGAAAGTGTCAGTGTTTATGCCATAACTTACAACATGTGAAGGATAGGACTCAATTCCATATTCCCCTGGAGAAACAGGTTCAAACCCAGTCTTCTCACCTCCGGTCACCATGTCTTCCTCATGGATTCCGAAGTCAGTTTTGGTGGATAACGACGAGTGAACTGGAGCAAGACTCGGCCCAACGTCGTCAGTCGTGCATACACTGCCACTAGTGTCACGATCAGGCCCTCCCCAGACCTCCATGGCACAGTCATCAGTCGCCAAGACCCGAGCCTGTGGGTGTATGACAGGTGGCGATTTCAGAACTGCCGCCGGAAGTGAGGACGCCACAGCGACTACGGCATGCCCACTGTCATCTAACTCACTATTGGACACACGGGTTTGAAGCTCTGGTGGTTCCACTTCTCCAGCTAATTCAACCAGATTCTAAACAAAACACGGAACCAGGTTCTCAGTTAAACTTAAAAGACCGCACAAACGGATAGGTTCAAATTTCGTTGCTGTTTATTCTATTCCATGGTACTATCGATACCTATTTCTCCGTAAAATTACCAGTAAATGTCTGTCAAGAAAATGGACCAGAGTCAGAATATTAAAAATATTTGCAAAAAGGTGTGACTGTTTGAAACAACAAAAGGACACCTTGCAGGTCAAACCCGTGTGTCGGTTTCGGAAAGCACACCAGGGCCGGCGATTTACATTGACAAGGCCCCGACCGAAGGGAGAGTGGAACTGCAGATGACGAGTAGCCCAACCAATTTATTAAAGCGGTAGCGGAGTGTGTGTGTGTGTGCAGGATAACGAGTGGGTTTATATGGCGCTTCGCTAAGCCTGGACCTCTGCACCCACGTAGTTGTGTGAAGTGCATTCGCGAAAATCGATTGAATCGTATTCGCTCAAGCTTGCTAACTGCGTTCGCCTGCTGCTCGCCGCAACTTAAAAGCCTCTTAAGAGCGAAGTAATTGACTAAATATGTAAGGAAACTAACATAAGAGGACAGCATTGCAATATCATACTGGGTGACTAAATGGTCGGGCGTCAAAGTTTTGGGGTTAGGGAGCATTAATAAGTTTAGTATTTGGATTTTTCATCTTATTTTTGCAAATCTGACTATTCTGTTGTAAATCTAAAACGGGTGCGCCGAGGACCGAATTGATTGTATGTCCTAGATATGACGCAAATATCAAGATTTTAAATGTGCCATCTAAAATCAAACAAGTAGAGTCGGCTCACTTCTTCAGGGTTTCTCGAGTGGGTGGGTGACGGTTGAACCACAACTGTATTCGAAGGAAGTGTTGGTGAGATCGGATGGATCGCTGTCACCTGAGCATGTTTTGCGGAGCCCGGTGGATCGACCTTGATGTCCACAATACCGGTCGACTGAGAAGAGCGGCGACTACACCGGGCCTCCGATTGGAAGATGAAATCGTTGGACTGTGACGCCTCCTTTCTGGCATTTGAGGCTGGCCGGGTGAGTTGTGAAGGGACAGCCTGATTATGTAAGCCAGAGATGGGGTGGTTGACGTGGTGTTCCACCGACGCCGAAGCCTCAGAGGGTTTGTGGACCAGATGAGGCGATGTATGACACCAGACTGACTCATCACGAGGGAACACCCGCAGAGGCAGCATGCAACAGCGATTACCTGGTCTGAGTAGCGAGAGTTCTGCCGTTGATTGTGCGGAACAAAAGGAAACAGGGGATTTGACCATTCTGTCCCGACGTACTGAATTGGGACTGAAATTTCCAAGGTGCGCGTTCAGTTGGAGCCCACCCCCAACTTCTTGTGCTTTTGACTGCAATACTTCGTCACCATTTAACCAAACATCATCCTAAAGTGCAGTAAAAGGGCATGATATTGTTAAATACTGCTATTAATTGCTATGTGTACAAACAGCGAGAAACTTATGAAAGCTCTAGTTAAGTTCCTTACGACGTCCCCCATGCAGAAAAACAAGTACTTGCACATTTCGTTAGCCACTGGAGTGTAATTGAAATGAATGCAAGACAATGCAGGCCAAGTAGTTTATGAGCAGGACTTGGGTTGAGGTTAATAACCTCCACATGAATTCAAAGGGAGGTACTAGTCAGACGTCTCCATGCTAGTGAACAGAGGAAAATGTCTTGGTAAATTCTATTACATTCCAAAGCTAGACACATTACATTAACTCGGTACATTCATAGCCTTTAAAATGGATAGATTTAACTACCAATGCATTTTGAGAGTTACCACATATGGGCGGTTTTTTGCTCATCATGTGATAAATTTCGAGGGCTGAAATTGATGAATAATCAACTTCCGTAAGGATGTTATTTATTGTAGGGAGAAATAATGCTGAACAACCTGCATAGCAACTATTAATTGTTCCTTACACCTTACCGCAAATGAATGATGGTGGATCAGTTCTTTCTCGGAGGAAGATTCATTTAAAAATGTCTGTTCCGCAGAGGAATTCGAACTGGGGGTGTGAATTTCTTGGTCAAGTGCAGCATCGCTCGTAGAGACGGCGTTTAGGCACTGCACCAGCGACTCGTAGTACTGCTTCACTCGAACCCTAACACGAAAAACTGACGCAAATTACTTTTTTAGTCACGGTTTGCACAAAATTAAATTATAATCACCCCAGTTGGCAAAAGTACATACATTGTAGAGGCATCTTGCCTTGGCTGTAACGAAGTAACCACAGCTGGTAAATATGATGATGAAACAAAGTCAAGTCATAGGTAAGGCTTGAATTTTGGAGCTGCGCTCATCAATACCAGCCCTCAATACCTTATAAACAGATAGTCAATGAATTTTAGTACACAATAGATCAACTACTACAACCACTTCTGACAGGTAACGCGAAGCACATGTACGGATGTACGGTGAATTGAAATAGGGATTAATACTTTGCCTACACCTCTACTTTTATTTTATTAGTAGAACGACCATTTTGGACAAATCAATGCACACAACCCGTTGGTTGTCACCTTTATGCTCCTCTAAGACTCCTGCTTGTGCAGTTTTTTTAAATCAGGGTACCCGACGACCGTCAAGACAGATTTCAATTCAACTGTTCAATTCAGAAATGTGACAATAATTTGGCCTCGAAATAAATGACTTCTCATGGACAAATCGAGAAACACGAAAGTAGGTGATTCTGAGGTATTGGGCTTTCCCAGCCACCACTCAGTTCAAATATTAATCGTTAGATTCATTAGTAAATTGGTCTTAGTTACAACCTGGTATACTGTCTACGTGACAACCACATTACCTTGTTGTCATGTAACGTCAGTCCAGGAGAGTTCCATTCGGCAAAAAAATCAGCACGGTAAATAAATCGATGACACAAACGTGGACTCACACATAATGGAAAAAAGCTGCAACCGATTGAGTGGGTTTTGTTTAGGTAAGATAAGTGCAAATTAAATTCGTGGCAAACGTAATAATACCGAATATCTTCGGTTTTTTAAGTTTTCCGTTAAGACATGTGTGACACCAAAAATGCGTTCTTTTATTCCATCTATTTGATCGGTAAATGTTTTGTCTACTTAAATCAAACCCCAAATATGGTAACTGGATAGCTGCATTTAATTTCCTTGTTCCTTGAACAGGCTAAAAAATTTCAACAGTTACTTAGCACTGTATGTAGGGGATGAATTACTGGGGTCAGGAAATTTGCATTTATAAACCTTATAACCGACTTTTGATCAAACTGCATATACGCACTAAGGTGTCTAAATTGTAATAAATTTATGGTTGAATCATTGGATTTACATTATTGGTAAAGTTGCATAATTGGATTTATATTCCTAATAATGCTATATAATTCAACTTAATTATTTGAAATCACGGCACAAGCGGTGGAGGATTTGCCTAAATATACTGTAGAGAAAGAGTTATGCGTAAAAACCTCGATAATGGCCAGCCCACCGAAGCTCATCTCGATAAGGATTCTGTCAGACCTAACGCATATATACCACACTGTTTTACCTGAGCAGAACCAAGAGTCATTTTTTTTACAAAACCCAAGATATCAAGCCTAAGATACTATGTCCATTGGGACCTACGCAGGTGCAACACTTAATCAAAAAGCTACCTATTGGAGCTATAAAAACCTATCCCGTTGTGTACAAAACATGAATCAGTCTATCGACTTACTGCAGTAATAACAAAAAAGCTATCGATTGTCATCGAGAATAATCGATGATAATAGTAAAAGCATAACGGTTAAATATTAAAACATACAAGTTTACATGAAGATAATCTGCACAGTTACGATACTGCACTTGGAGTTTAGGTACTTAATGACGCCGTAGGAATGGTTAAAAAATGGTTTTTAAATCCGAAAAGCTGATCGGAACCTCCACCTTTTTAGAGCTTGAATGCAGCGCTTCTGTGACTTGAGCGAAGTCTCAGTAGCAAAGCGGATAGCCTGGCGCTGAGCAAAGTCTGAGCACAATGTCTCGACGGCTGCAGTTTCGAAAGCGTCACAACCGAAGGTGGACTCTTCTGAACGCACACTAATTCTGTGAGCTGGAGATAACTGTTCCTCAGCTGATTCCATTATAGGGGTTCCCGCGTCCACCATCATTTGCCGATGCTGATGAATTATCCCTGAAAATAGAATAAATGAAACATGATGTAAACATTCCGTAAATGAGGTTCTATTACCAAAACGTAAATAAATTACAGGCCTCGTTTCTACTACCTGGCTCAGATACACAGAAAAATCCCCGGTCACTGTGACGTATACAGGCAGAATTTCGACTCAGCTGGTAGGCAAGTAGCGTCTAGAACTTCGGACACAACAGATCAAAGTTTGTTTTATTTTGATTTATTTTAAGGCCACAAAATTAAACTTTTCCATGGAGAAAATGCGTTTCTTTGGAAATATTATTTACAGCAACATAAGCAAGTTGACATAGGTTGTATTTTAACAATATCGTGAATTTAAACCTTCCGAGACTGGCCTAGCATTGGTGAAAATGAATAGAGGTTAACAACACTCTCCATTGACAAAAGCCAAAAAACTTACGGGGACAAAGCCGGCAAGGCGCAGCGCCGGTGAAATGAGGGTCGAGTGGGTCGGATGGAGGAGGTGGGAGGGCCGCAATGGCAGCCGCCCGTTTTTTCTCAATCGAGCGAGCCACTTCTAGAAATCGACGCCTCGACTCTTCTTTACATAATGATTGCGCCCGCTTTTCCAATAACTCTGAGTATGCGGAATTAAAACGCTTCCTTGCAACGTCTTTTCTAGATGACAACAGTTTCTGCTCCTCTAACACAGAGTCACCCTGAAGATATTGAAAGTAAAAATAAATAAACTCCATTTTTCATTGTAGTAAAAAATGTCCTACATGAAAAACCAAACTTATTTGATTAAGTGGATCAAACTATACTAATGCAAGAAATTTAAAAGGACCAACATGAGTCCTGCATTTGTAATCTTTAACCAAGATGAAGGCGCGAAATTCCACAGATGTTTGAATGTGCAGGAAGCTTTCTACGAAACCACATCAACTCGAGGAATGATTTTAAAAATATTAGACTACAAAAACCAAGTGGCTAAAATACTTGAGTTCCTTTCGCCTACTTTCCTCTAATATCTCAACTGAAACATTTTCTCAGTTCAAACACAAGTTTTGGAAGAAAGTGTGCGTTTGAGTGATCATTAGTTGCGAATTTCAGATTCAGACCCAACCTCCTTAGTTGCATATACAAAATTCATTATGAACCTGTGGAGCTTGACCATTAAAAAAATTACCTTAGTTGATGCAGCTGCGTGAGCAAGACCGAGATTTCCAATGACACAATCAAGTGACGCCTGTCGACTTCGAAGCATTGTGATGTTTCGATTTTTCTCTTTTTCTAAAAGTTTTTGGGCTTCAGTTTCTAAACGCTCTTTCTGCCTTATGTAATATTGGTTTCGAGTAACAGAAGAATGCCTCATTGATAGACGACGTACCTACTCTATAACATACAAAAATTTGCATACCTGCAATAGCCTCATCCTACGTCTTCTTAAAAATTCTTCATTTTTAAGTCGGTCAACTTCACACGGAGACGGCCTGTACAAAGTGGCTGAGCAATCACCCATCATAAACACAAGTGTTGACGTTTTTAAAAAGAGCACCACTGCAAAGTGTGTTTTTCTTCACATAGACAAACAAGCGAACTGCATTCAAAATACGAAGGAGATTTAAACCTGTAACAACTATGTAAAGATTTACATAAAACCAAATACAAAACCACTTGATACAGTAGCAATGGTAACTTCCAGTAATTCCAAAAGAGTGTGTGCGGAATTGATTATTTTTTGGTTAAATTATGAGGGATATCAGGAGACACTAATAAACTTGCGATTGTAGAAATTGAATGCTGCCTAAAAAGGGCCTTGGGTGTATCCTTTACAAATTAAATAAATCATCAACAGTTTTTTTGTTTTTTCAATTTCCTCAGGTCTAATTGGTACTTAAAATTTTCACTGATTCATGTTGTAATTTAAATTTTTTTAATATCCTATCCAAGTCGCGATCGAAAACATCTAGGTATTAAAAATTTGCTCTTCTGGTTTTGCTCAATACAAATAAAGTGGCCCAGGAAACCAATGCGTTTATCATTCTAATTAACGAAGCTTAAATATTTCAGCATTGATAAGTGACACCACGCCCTGCATTTAGCGTTAACTGTTTCAGCATGCAGCCGAGCGATTTCGGGATATGAAGCTTATATAAGTCATTTGTTAAATTGACCAGAATGATCAAACTGAATTAAAGGAAATTAGTGTTTATAGTGGCAAAAATGAAAGGCGCGATTAATGAGAATTGGCTAATAGTGACGAATTGTAATGAGTGAAAGAAAATCACTCCGAATCCTGACAGAACCAATAAACATACAACGAAAATTGAACATATAAGGGATTAGAAACAAAATCATAACAACCTTGACAGCTGTTTAAATTATTTAACCACAAATACGGAATTGAAAATAAAGATGAGAAAATAGTTTACGTTAAGGCAACACAATGCATTTTAGTTCATCAAGATAAAATCTATGCGAAAAGTTTCTTGTGCTTTCCAGCTCACATTTTTACCTGCGAGATTATTTCAGTGATCGCAAACATATTAGTCTCCTCTATGGTTGATACAAAGCTAGAAATAAACTATTGACGAATGGTGATTGCTCATTTTTTTAATTTAATGGCATTACAGAAGTAATTCAATGCCTCATTCGACATCATTAAATAAGAACTTTAATTAACAAAGACTGAGACGATTTAATCGAGCCATTCGTTCCGTTTTTAAGATTAATCAGATTGTACTCCGAGAATACTCTGAGTAAATCAAACTACGTCAGCCCTCTCTTTAATTTTCAGTATCCCTTTTCAAAATAACTTTAAATTTGTGCAGACAAGAAGTTATTTATTTAAGAAATGAATGAAATATTGAAGACGTTGTGCCCACAGGGTTTACATCTGAAAATTGGAAAAGAACATCATGCTGCATTATTAATTTTTTTTCAATTTTTTTGATGTGATTTAGCATGTATTACAATTTGATTTCAAGAATCTGCTATTATATTGTTACATTATTTATAGTTTTTCAGACACAAATGAACATAATGATGATTATCTTATTTTAATGAAAATAATAAAATAAACGAAGTCAATATAAAAAGAATGAAAAAAGTACTGTACACTTTGACACAGTTGATCAATAAGGATGCATTTCGTTTGTTTAAAATGTCATGAATTTCAGTTTGCGCCTGTCTTGTCTGTATTCACGTCTGTGTGGTAAGTCTCCAGGATGCAATTGGTTGTTCGTTCATTTGATACGCGAATAATCGACACTTCGACTTGTCGCTCTGCTGCGGATTTGAAATGTCTTTTGGCGTCTCAAGATGGGTTACCATTGGAATCAATCCAGTTGTTCAGTGGTGCTTCTGAACTGGACAATGCCGCTGATTTATCGAACTTAACAGAAAATTCTGCTATTGATGTGATTGTGCCCATCCTCGGTGGTACGTTACCTATGTACTTTGTCATTGATTCTTTAAGGTAAGGTGCACGGATCGCTCGCACGTGCTGGTAAAGTTCGTGGTCAGACACCAAAGGTAGAAAAACAGGATAAGAAGAAGCAGCCAAGGGGTCGGGCAAAACGTCGAATGCAATACAACCGTAGATTTTTCGCTGTTGTTGCAAGCACTGGACTCCGACGACGAGGCCCAAATTCTAATTTCAAGCCGACATAGTGTCATGCCAGTGACTAAAGAGGCTATTCAGGGAGCCTTGGATAGTATGAGAATATACCGTACTTTGGCAAATCCTGTATTTTTCTTCACTTTATATTTCTTTGTGTTGGATATGTGTCCCACTGTGTTCAGCTTTCGGTACAAAAACAACCTGACTTCAAGTTTGCTCATCTAGTTAATTTCTTGATCATGGTGTCCCGTTTAGCCGACGTTTCCGTGTGTTCTCTAATTGCTGTGCTTCGATGTGTGTAAAAGTGGATTCGTACCGTACACGTCCTTTATTTTTACCTTGGTTTCCCTCGCAACCATGTCTTCTCAGTACTCTTCCCGAGTTTCACGGTCAATGCGTTTTTCGTGGCACTTTTTCATCGTGGAATAAAACCTGTAATACCCGATTTTACACATGCGTCAATTTTCGACGTTCTTACAAAAATTTAGACTTTTATCACAAAACCGATTTCTCTGTGATTCTAGATGCTAGTGGCGGCTTCTTTGTTGCTTTCAGTAGAATATGGTTGGTTTCTGTGTAACGTTGTTGATCGTTATCGACCTCGACAATTTCAGGGTTTATCTAATGCCTTGTTGCAAGGTGCATAGTCTCTTAAGAATATGACTTTGTGTTGGGATCGTGCAAATTTGCGGGTACTTGTTGGCGAATGAGTTGTGCGCATTTTAGTGGGAGGTTTATGGTCTAGAGTGTTTTAGAGAGATTGGGTTACAAGTATTTGCGTATGAGTGCTGTGAATAGTTTCGTTAGAAAGTGAGTCCGGACGAAGTATGCTTTTACTATACCTGTAACTTATAGGGTACTCTCAAGAGTCCACGTGAAACGCATACATAACTGACTCAGTGTTGTCTGACAGTAAAATTTAAGGTGCAATCGATGTATTATCCGTTGGTGAATACGCATGCATATTCTGTGGGTCAACATCACATTGTGGCTTCCGCTCTCGGTCATGTTATATCTCGTATGACAGTAACGATCGCCAACATACGTGAATTGAATTCAGAACATTGCCTCTGGCAAGGAAAATCATGAAGGCTTATAAGTGCATTATTACCTCCTTTACATTTGGTGAAGCTCTTTCGAGGCTGTATGTTGTCAAATTCGGCCGATCCCCTCAGACGCATGCGTTAATTGCACTAAGCGCCCCACCAATGGTATTATCTAGTGTCGACCGATAAAATGGGTTGGTTGCATATAGGCGGTAACCTTAGTCGATCAAAGTTCAGAGAGTGATCCGCAAGCAGCCAAGTCAATGCCCTTGAAAGGGACTGCCCTGGAAGCATGAGTGTCAGCTTTCAAAATTTCCCAACGAACGACTTGCACTCTGTACGTCAAAGCACCCAACAAATACCAACTTCTTAAATTGAAACAATTGTCGAGATTTTCCTGTATAAAAAAGGAACTCAAACCGTCCATGTCTACCCGGACGTTGTTTGTAGTTGTTGTTAGGAAAAAATGTATCAACCTGGTGAGAGTATGGTGAAGGCCTGTTTCACAGGTTCTTGCACTGACGCAACATTAGCCGTTTTAGGAGGTTCCACTATCTCTTCCCTACTCTCAATACACAATCAGAGTGTAGTGGCTACAGACTTAGCACTACCTTACAACCCTCTGGTTAACAGCCCGATAATACCCGAGGAAAGGGGGAAATGCGGGGACAGAGAACAGGACCTTTTATTACTGTCAAACCAGCCAAGTGGCTTTGTGTGCGTGAGTACGCGTGCGTAACAGGCGAAAGCTGACAGGCCAATAACAAAGGCAGTGAGTCATTGGTACACTGGGCCCTCATACACGCGCACTCACGCGAGGCGGCTGTCAGTCCACTACAAATATTCTCCCCCCCTCCCCCCCCC